TTTTGCAAGCTTCACCAATCATGCTCTAAAGCCACAAAAAGAACGGCGGATTAAGCATCACATCTGAAGAAGAAGAATGAACACGAGATCTGAAATTCCTGCAGATTTGTTCTTGATTTCGCGAAATCGATAGCACATTTTCGCTCCACTGCTGTCAACTTTAATTTGGAGGTCATTCATGGATTTCATGAAGGTCCTCAATCAGACTGTCCGCGAAATGTGAGATTTTCAACTTCCTTATCTTCATTTTTCATTTGAGAATTCGACTTGTAGCTGCTTTTAGTCGAAGATAATTTGTTTTGATTTTGTTTGTTTCTTTTGCTTTGATCTCAGAAAGAGGGAGGTGAATCTAAAGGTGTTGAAGGTTCCGGAAATCGAACAGAAGGTGAGATTTTCTGTTTTGCTCCATCTCGATTGTAAAATGACGGTTGATTTCCTCATGGTATTCAAGCAACTGAATGCATTCCATGGTGATTCTACTGATGCATTGCTTCTTAGAGATTTTGCTCGTGTGGTGAACTTTAGTTTGGAAAAGATATGCTCTGCTCTTTGTTTGAAAGTTACAGTTTACTTTTATGATGTCGCGTATGCTTTTCGACTGAATGAAATGAAGTGGATTTCCACTTAAAGAGAGATTCATGGTATGATATAGAACTCACTTCAGTTTGTGTAAGCTATAAGGGTGATAGTGTTGAATTTGATGGAAGCAAATATTCCAGTTGCATCATGTAGGTGTACAGTTAGCTTAAGAGACTTTTATTCTACATTATTAAGTTTTACATTCCTCTTTTGGTGTTAAGGCTAATGCCTGAAAATCAAACAATTGTGAACTTTTGTTGGATAAGAAGTTGTGATTAGTCATTAGAGAGTATGGATTGACTTAGGGTTTAGATGTAGTTGATGTTCTGTAGCTGCCTGCTTTGCAATGTATTGAAGAAGCATTCTCACGGCTTATCTTTCTAGCTTTTTGATTCTTTGGTGGCTTGTTCGGGACTTTGTTGGTAGTGAATGGATGTATTGTTGGGTGGTGATATTTTATGCTACTTTTTAAGTTCAATAAGTTCTCCATTTCTTCAGAATTATTTTTGTTATGTGATTATGTTGGTATTTTATATGCAGGTGCTTGATGCAACAGATGATGAACCTTGGGGCCCTCATGGAACTGCATTGGCAGAAATAGCACAGGCAACAAAAAAACTGTAATGTTAACTAACTTCTTTCCTTTCTTATTATATTTCCATTTCTTATTCTATAGCATTGGTTCGAAGAAAGGTTTTTTTTCCTCTTTCTGAATTATTGCAATATCTTCTAGTTCTGAATGTCAGACGGTTATGAATGTTCTGTGGACAAGATTAGGCGAGACTGGCAAAGACTGGCGCTATGTGTATAAGGTGTCTCAAATCTTCCATTATCTACCTATAAGTCAATTAATACGAGTAGAAACTTTCATTTCTCTTTCTAAATATTGTTGGCCCAATTTCACACGTTGAATATCTAAACTGCTTCTACATCTGGCATTGGCTGTTATAGAGTATTTGATTTCTCATGGATCTGAGCACGCTGTTGATTATATAATAGAACATACTTCCAGATCTCTGTAAGGCCTATTCTCATATATTCTCTCAGATTCAGACAGTCCATTCACAACTGATATTCAGATTAAAGTTGAAAATTTTTTCTAATAGTTTGTTTCCCCTCCTTGTTGTGCATTGTTAAAGTCGCTTACAATTACAAGCTTAGAATATGTTGACCCAGGCGGGAAAGATATGGGAATTAATGTGCAGAAGAAGGCAGAAAATATAGTGAGTCTTTTGAATAATAAAGATAAAATACAAGAATCTAGAAATAAAGCCACTACAAACCATGACAAGTAAGTGTATTCTTCAGGAACTGAAACCATAAGGTTAACTGTAACATTGTTCTTGACTGAGCATTATGATAACTGCAAAAATTTCTAGTTATTTTGGCTTTCATCTACCGGAATAACATACAAGTCTGATGCGCCCACATATAGCAGCAGGGGCTTTAGTGGTGTTAGGTATGGTCCGTATGGAGGCCTAAGTGGTACACGAGATGGTGACAGTTTTCAGTTCAGCAATAAAGAAAGGGACCGGTATGGTGAAGAAAAGATTGATACAGATACCAATGGAAAGCCACATCAATTGGCTTCAAGTGAGAACCAAGGAAACACCTCGAAGAAAGAATACTCACACTATGGCAGGTCTGGTTTTGTCTACTGTTGACACATTGCTAATCCTTAATGAATATGAACAAATCTAGAACATATCTTTGAAGCTGTTGATCATAAATTACCAGCAAACCTTTACCTTGCTTTCAGATTCCAATTAATCTCTCTTACAGAAGATGTTCATCTTGTTACTGCTAGTGCATTAGTTGTTTTATATCTTTTTGGATGTGAGAGCTAAACTACAGAAATAACACAGTCAAGCTCACCCTTACAAGTGGCAATGCCAATTGCACGTGCTCACTGACACTCCATGCATGTCAACATTTGATAGACTAATGTTTTTGTTCTTTCTTTCATTCTCTCTTCACTCCCTCCAATTATTTTGTTTTAGCAACGTTTTTGATTACATAATGTTTATTTTGCAGCAAGGATCAAGAGCATAAATTCTCATCATGGTCAAGCATGTCCAATAAATAATGTCAAAGCACAAACTCTCACTCAAATGGTTATGATGATGACAATTTTGATGATTTCAATCCCAGGGGAACATCTAGTACTGGTAAGGGTATAGACTATATGATTACACTTTGAATTGTCAGACTTAAACATCAAATCAGTGCATGCAATGCCTGTTTGGACTAGACATGAAACGTTTTAAACTGTTTTGGAATGGCCAACCAGAGAGTCATGCTTCCACAACCTCACTTGGTTTGAGTCGCTAAGTCTACATTACTTGAAGATCTTTCAACCATACAGAGCTAGCAGTTGAGGTGTTTTATTATTGTTTTGGGTTTAATATAGCATCATACTTCCATCATCTTGCACATATCAGGTGCCAGATTTATTTTTGAACATATGTTGAAATTGTAGAAGGACAAGCTGTATGAGATCGAATGGGGGAGAGAAACTTCTTAGGCCTTGAAAACTTGTAGGATGTTATAGTTTGTCCACTTTTATGGAATAATAGGAAAAAATTGAGATCCCTATTCCCTGGTCCTTTTCTTTTCGCTGATCGTAGATAATTCAAAGATCC